CGATGTCCCCTCGGAAGGGCAAAGGGAAGGACAAGGCGGCCAAGGGAGCGCTGCTGAGGCTGGGCAGCGAGGAGGCTGCGGAGAACAAGCGGCCGGTGCCCGGCGTGGATGGCGGCGATCCCGGGGCTGCTCCCCCGAAGCAGAAGGGCAAGGAGCCGGGCCCGCAGTCCCCAGGGAAGGCAAAGGCCACCAAGCACCCAAAAGCAGGGCAGGCCGGTGGCTTGGGCGTACGTGACAGTGTCCCAGTGGTCCCTGGTGATGGAGCCGCGGCTCCTCCAGCAGAGGCGTGCCAGGAGATGCCAGGGAAACCTCTCCAGCCCGGGAGCGCGGCAGCGTTTGGAGGGAATGATGCTGAGGGGGCTGGGAGGAAACCTGCAGCTGAGATCCCTGCAATTCCTGCAGCTGAGATCCCTGCAGTTCCTGCAGCTGAGATCCCTGCAATTCCTGCAGCTGAGATCCCTGCAATTCCTGCAGCTGAGATCCCAGGAAGTCTGCAGCTGAGATTCCCAGGAAACCCTCAGAGATCCCTGAGGTTCCTGCAGCTGGGATCCCATGGGAGCCTGCGGCTGTGATTCCCAGGAAACCTGTAGCTGAAATCCCTTGGGAGCCTGCAGTTGGCATCCCCAGGATTGCTGCAGCTGGGATGCCCAGGATCCCTACGGTGGGGATCCCTTGGGAGCCTGCAACAGGGATCCCCAGGAGTCCTGCAGTTGAGATCCCCAGGATCCCTGCAGCCGAGATCCCCAGGATTCCTGCCATTGAGATCCCATGTGAGCCTGCAGCTGGGATCCCCACGGTTCCTGCAGCTGGGATCCCCAGGGGGACGAGCCCCCTGTGCTTTGCTGATGGAGCCTCTGGCAAGCCCAGCTCTCTGGATGTGACCTGGCCCGAGATGTACGAATACCTGTTCTGTGATTCCCAGGAGGAGGAGGAGGAGCTGGGCAGCTCCGTGGAGGGGCGGAAATCGCCCTTGCAAAGGGAAATCTCCTGGCCTGAACTGTACGAGTATTTTTTCAATGAACCAGAAGGAAGCAGGAAAAAAGGCAAAGCTAAAGACAGGAAAAGAAAGAAGCCCAGAGGCTTGGACCGCCCTGGGCTGCAAAAGGAGGCTCCCAGCTCGGCTCCAGGCGAGGACACCGTGGTTATCCCAGTCCCTGACGTGTATGGACACTGCTTCCCAGAGAGAGCCCACAACAGGATGGGCTGGAGAGGGATTTTCTCAGTGGCTCCGGCCTCCGAGGTGAAGAAAGCTGTGGGGGCTTTGAGGTCCCTGCTGCAAAGGCAAATCCAGCTGGGAGGAGGCCAAGCCCAAACATCCCAGGCCCTGGTGCCCAGAAGATGTGGGGAGAAGCTCGCCCTGGTCCCGCTGGGAGGAGCCCAGGTGTGGCCAGAGGATGCAGACACGGCCCTGGCACTGAGAGGTAAATCCTATTATCCCCTGTAGGGACATGTGGGATTCCCCCTTGGGATTCTCCCCTGGGATTCTCCCTCCCTCTGTCCCCGTGCCAAGCGGGTGCTCCTGACCAGCTCCCCCAGCATGGACAGGGAATGTGGGACTGTAGAACTCACTGTGATCAGAAAAACACCCTCAGGAGACCTCAGAGGTCACCTGAGCATTGCCTGTCCTGGAGGCAGGTGAGAGAAATGGGAATAAAGGGAGAAGTTTGACCCACAAGGACAGGCAGGGGATTTGTCTTTGATCTCAAATGATGCTCAGAGCATCAGAGTTAATATTAAACCCAAACGATGAGGGAGCCATCCCAAAGGGAGCCTCAAAATCAAGCTTCCAGTCTGTTTGTATGGAGAAAAAAACCCCTTTGAGGTGGTCACAGCTAATTAATAAGCCAGTTTTAATTAAAAGCCTGATCAAATGAAAAGGAGCAAAAATAGTCTGATCTTGAGCTAGGCCTGCAAGTTGTTGGAGCAGGGCAGGGGATGCAGGGCAGGGGATGCAGGGCAGGGGATGCAGGGCAGGGGATGCAGGGCAGGGGATGCAGAGCAGGGGATGCAGGGCAGGGAATGCAGGGCAGGGGATGCAGGGCAGGGGATGCAGGGCACTCAGGGATTTCCTCATCCCTGGAGGAGGCAGGAGTGGGCTGGGGTGCCCGGAGGGATGCTGAGCACTCTCGGGTGCTGTGCCTGGGGACACTGGGGACAGGAAGGACACACAATTCCTGTGTCCCCAGGACTTGCTCTATCCTAAATCTGCTGCCCAGACCCGATTCCAGCCGCTACAGAGCTGGCAAGATCTGCAGGGAGGCGGTGAGGCAGCCTGGGGTGGCTTTAACAAACGTTTCCTTGGGGTTTTGAGCAAAGTGTGAGACTGAGAGGGGTGACAAATGTGCCACCGTGCCCTGGGAGTGCACAGAGCCCTGAGCAGACCCCTGTGACTTCACCCCCGACCCAAAACCACCTTCAGCGATGATGTCCCGGGAGCAGCAGGGATTTGCTGTCCCACAGGGAGGGGAGGGGTGGCAGAGGAGGTGGCACGAAGCCCCCAGAGCTGGTGCTGGTGTCATGGCAGGAGCAGCAGAGGACCCGCGGGTGCTGAGCCACAAGGACATGTGCCTCGTCTTCTGCGCCTTCGCGTCCTGGGCGGTGAAGACATCTGACCTGCAGGCTCCGGATGCCTGGAAGACCAGTACGTACAGTGCCAGCCTGGAGAGGGGTGGGCAGGGCTCTGAGGGACACTTGGCAGGGAGAAAAAACGGGGTATTTCTACCTGCAGTGGGGAAATGCAGCCTTTTCCTGGTTTTCCAGAGTGGTTTCCATGCCTTGTCTCCCCTCTAATCCCGATTCCCGCTCGCTTCTTTTGTGCTTTCCCTACAAAGTGGCTGCTGAGCTGAGCTGTATCCACAGCCTTGCTCCATCCAGCCCCTGACAGGGATTGGTTTGTCAGGGCTTCCTCAGGAGTTGGAGTCAGCAGGTTTAGATTCCCTCATCCCAGCTGGAACAAAATTCCTGAGTTTTTCTGATGTGCTCGGAAGTTTTAATCTTCTCCCCAAACACAGCTCAGCTGAGGCAGCATCTCCTGCACAGAGTCCTGCAGTTCTCTGGAGATCTGTGGGATCCTCTCCTCCCCAACCCCAGCACTTGGAAGCTGGTGGGGAGAGAGGAAGCTGAGGAAACACAAATTCATGGAATCCCACAGGAGGGGGATGGCTGGATGAGCAGGGAATGGCTCAGGGAGAGCAGCATTCCCAATGACCTGGAGAAGCCTTCCAGAGCAGCATTCCTCATTCCTGCCCTGGAACACCCCTTCCATGGGAAGAAATGCCAGGATCAAGGCTTCCCGCTGCTTTTCCAGGCGAGGAATGTTCCCTGCGAAGGTCACCAGGAAGCTGACACCCCGGGCTGGGAATAGCTGCTGAGCTAAGGCTGCTCAGTGCCGTCATCACCAGCAGCTCTTGGCCTGTTCCCCTCGGCTGCTGAGTTTTTGGGATGGAGGACGTGGCCCTGGGAAAGGTGTGGAAAGCGGGATACGCTCCTCGTGCCCTGGGATGGAATAACCTGGAGAGGAGGGAGGCAGGAGCGGTTCCACAACCCCAAGCAATCGTTCTCTCTGGGCATTTGGGCTTCTAACAAGCTGAGTTTATAGTCCTCTACCACATAAATCAAAATCCAGCCTGAATTTAAAGTTTTGGAGTCCAAAAACACGTCTTGGATTCCCGGTTTTGCTTGGGAATCAAGGGCACTTAAACCAAATCAAAAACATTTGGGTGCAAGTACAGAGCAGAGCTTGATTTGTGTTTCATCCCCATTCGTTATTTCTTGTGTTCCTACATTTTTTGATTCAGAGTTTTTTGATATTTTCTGCTTTTGGCTGGGACCAGAAAATCCCCAGAAAAACCCCAAAATGAGAATTTTCTTGGTGCCCTCCTGGTCCAAACAGAAGCAGAAGATGAAGATGCTGTCCTGAAAATCCTGGTGGGATTTTCCTAGTGTGTCTTTCTCATCCAAGATCAAATCTCCAGCTGAACTTGTGGCTCCAACCAATCCATGAAATCCCCATCTGGATCTGTGTATCCACCCAATCCATGAAATCTCCCTCTGGATCTCTGTATCCAACCACTGCACATCACCTATTGAGCATTTCCCTTAAAAACAGCCATTTTTATGCAATGCTGGTGTCTCCATGTACCCAAACTCTGGGATTTGATGTGGCCAGTCAGGCTTTGGGCAGCTGGGAACAAATTCCATCCTGGAATTGTGGAATCCAAATTGTGGTGGGAATGAGAATCAAAGGCAGGAGGGGACTGGGAGAGGGAGAGCAGCGACCCCCCCGTGCCCCACGGAGCACTTTGGGACCCCCAGGGCTGGGAAAAGATCCGGAGCTGTGGGAGAAGCACCCAGAGTCACCGTGGGAATGTGTCGGGCTCTTTTCCAGTGTTCCTGGCGAGTTTTGGCACCCTCTCGGCCATCCGCTATTTCCGAAGGCAGGTCAGGGAAGGGCACCCCCGGACTTAACCCCTGCCGCGCCGCAGCCGCTGCCCGAGGCCGCCGGGCAGGGGCCGGGACTTTGTTCTGGACGCTGGGACAAGGCTGGAGCCAGCAGCGAGAACTTCTCCGGCCCCATCCCCGCCGGGCCAGGCAGCGGGAGCCTGCCGGGAACGGGAACTGACGGTAGGACAGCACAGGACAGCACAGGACAGGGAATGGCCCCGCTCCCTCCGCCCTGCTGCGGGCACCTGCTGACGCTCGGAGGAAGCGGGGAAGAGCTTCATCCCGACAAAAGAGCCGGGATCTCTGAGAAGGAGGAAAAGACGGCTTTGGGAAGGGCTGGGCTGCGGGGGGATGGAGGGGCCGCTCCCTCGGCACAGCCCGGAGCTCCCAGAGCCGGTTTGATCCCAGATCCAGCCCCAGCACGGCTCATCCTCTTGCATTGCGCTCCAACGAGTCCCAGCGCGGTGCAGCAGCGCGGGGATAAGGTTTCTGTCGCACGTGGCATGCAGGGTCTGTCCCTGGGGATGTGTCCCGGGGGACAGGACGGGCAGGGGACATGTCCTGGGGACAGGACGGACAGGGGACACATCCCGGGGACAGGACGGACAGGGGACATGTCCTGGGGGACAGGACGGACAGGGGACATGTCCCGGGGACAGGACGG